AAAAAGGAGGAAGAAGATAATGAGAAGTGACCCAAAAGACTCCAAGCTCTATAATCCCATTGAGATGGAGTGTCAGGAGAGACAAAATTCAGCTGTGAAGACCGAGTTCAGCTCAGGTATCTGGAAAGGAGGGTTCACACTGGCAAGGCGTTGACTAAATAGTGACAGGAAAAGCTTTCCGAGATGACAGGAATGTCCTCTCTTCACTGGGGGTGGCAGGTACTCCGGTATACATGTCAGAATCTCCTCTTTAAGGCGGAATGATATTCTATCGTATGGATAGACCGTGTTTGTATACCCATTCCCCTATTGATGGACACTCAGGCTGCTTTTACCTTTAAGCTGTAATGCCACTATGAACACGAGGGTACAAACACCTTGCTGAGACTCTGCTTTCATTTCTTTTGGGTATGTGCTCAGAAGTGGTATCACTGGATCATATGGTAATTCGGTAATTCTATTTTTTTTTTTTTTCCTTTAGGAATCGCCTGTTTTACATGGCCCCAAACTATCCTTTCAGGTTTTTATGGCATCTCCATTTAGGCATGATTGATTATATCACTGATCGCTGGCAGTCAGCTCACCCTTCAGCCCCTCTCCCCTCCCTGAAGTTAGGGAGTAGGGCTGAAAGTCTCACCCTTCTAATCATGCGCTGGTCTTTCTGATGACCAGACCCCATCCTGACACTATCTAGGGGGGTCCCCCAACTCATTAGCATATAAGATAGTCATCACTCCGAGATCCTAGGGTTTTAGGAACTGTGTGGCAGAAAAGAGGGATGAAGACCATAGATCTATTTCACAGTATTGTGAAAACATACTCTTACAGCTTATTGTTACAATACATATTATTTGTCCCATCACATTGTCAAGGTGTATCCTGAAAATACATCACGAACTCCTATAGATAGAAATACTCCTGAGGCCAGCAGACATGTGGTGCTTAAGGTGCTAGATTCCCATACAGCCAACCACAGTCCAAGTCCGGGCCTGGCAGCTCGTTTTCTCGTTTCCTCTCTGTGTCTCTCTGGTGAGCACAGCGCCCTATAGCAAATTTAAAAATAGTAAGAGACCAGCCAGCAGATGGCATAATGATTACATCACTGGACTCCCACGTAGTAGACTGTAGTTCAAGTCCCAGACCTGGTGGCTTAAAACTCACACTGGGCACATGTCCATGTGTTCCCCAAATCCCAAGGAGACTAGAGGAGAAGGGGCTGTGGTGTAGTCATTCCCCCACTCCCAGGGAGGTGTGATTTTTCACTTTCTGTCTCTCCAGCGGGCAGAAACACCCTATAGCAAAAAATCTCTCTAAAACGTAATAATAATAAAAAATAAATTATTTTTAAAAATACTCCTGCAAGTACCTAACTTCAAAGACAATGTTATTTTTATCCTCACTTTTGGATGAAGAAATGGGAGTCTGAGATCAGTAAGACAGTGCAGGTATCAAGAAATGAATGCTCCATGCCACGTCTGCAGGGTGGAAGGGCAGAGCAGGGACAGGCTTCCTCAGAAGGCTCCTGACAGGCACCAGCCCAGCTTCTGGGTCACACCTCCCCAGGGTGTTCTCAGAGCTCCCATTCTCCTCTCAGAACTTTCTCCTCCTTTGTTGCACAGATCTGCAGCTGGAACTAAATAAACCCATGGCAAAGTCACGTGTTTCCTGTCAGCTCTCCCGAGGCAGAGACGCCTCGCTGTCATCTCACCTCCAGGGTCAGAAGCCAATGCGTGTCTGCTTAGCCCTGAGTGTCAGTACTGCTCTGGGTGTCTTGGATCAGGTTGAAGATGCACCAGCAAACAGGCCTTCCAAATACGAAATGAGCTTTCTTTATTTTAGAAAAAATATTTTTTATTCCTTCCGTGAGCAAGAAAGACAGTACCCCACCACCTCCAGCTTCAGCCAGCACTGGATCATGGACACGCACCTGCCTGGCACGCTCAGGGAAGCTGCCAAATGTGAACCCAGACCTCCCCGATACAAGATCGGCAAAAAAAAAAACATGAGGCATTTTTCTATGTTTTTGTATGCAAAACTGCATCATGACTTTTCCAACGACCCAATCAAACAGCGGGATTTACCACTGTACCGCCAGCAAGCCCTGGAGCGAATGCTTTCACCTGACCAAGGCCCACTCCAATCCGTCTACACAACTGAGCTGTCCAAACCGGCTGGCAGCAACTCCAGACTCACTTTCCGTATTTGGGCTCTCAATAGAGGAAAGCTCACCTACCTCCTGACTTCCATCCTCCAGGAGGCTAAAACCAAGTGGGCCCTTGGGTTGCTGCTCAGGCTTGAGGGGCCTGGGGGTGAAACTGACCTTGAGATAGAAGGGGGGGGGGATTGACTTTAAAGTCACACCACGGGGTTGGCAGGTGCCAGGGTCAAGGGCACTGGACTCCCACACGGTTGACCACAGTTTGAGTCCTGAACCTGGTGGCTTACGTTCTCACTTTCTCTCTCTCTCTCTGTCTCTCTCTGGTCAAATTCAAATAAATAAAGTTAAATATATTTTTTTAAAGTTATCTTTTAAAAATAAATAAATGAATAAAATCACAAGAGGAAAACAGGTAAGATTAACATGGGTGACTATGGGTATGTAGCCTGCCTGGCCGTGCTTGGTCAGTAACAGAAACAGCCTTCCCCACGGTGTGGGCCCTTTCTGCATGCCCATTCTTCTTGCATACCCTGTACTCCCAGGCTCTTTGACCTCATTTGTGGAAACTGCCCCATTTTTTTCAATTATAGCCCCCCTGCAGATGGCTATTACTTCACCTGGCAGACACACCCCTTCCTCCCCGGTAGCCCCAGGTGGGACAGACCCTCTGAGGACAGGCCCATGCCAGCACTGTGCTGGGAGGACAGCAGAGGCACTCAGGTTTGGGTCCCGTGAGCAGAGCTGGTAAATGGGTGACATATACAGGAGGCAGGTGCAATGATGGCTAAGGAGGACACAGTGCCTGGGGGACAGGCAGTCCGGCAACACCCAGGCTGGAAGGGGCTTCAGGAGCATGTTGGCACAGCCCAGGCCCCCCCTGATCCGCTCCCAGCTCCCACAGGTGACCCTGCAGATCAGTTCCTGCCAGACTGGCTGGGCAGAATTGGAGGGCAGAACAGGACAGCCAGCACTGCCTTGCGAATTCCTGACTTCTAAGAAGAGAGCATCAGTCCCCGACCCAGCAGCTTGAAACTCACTCTGGGCACGTGTGCGTGCATGCCGAGGATCCTGAGAGAAGAATGGAGAAGGGGCTGTGGTATGGCCGTCTCCCCTGGAGGGCAATTTCTCGCTTTCTGTGTCTCTCCAGCAAGCACGCATGCTCTACAGCAATAATCTCTCAAAATAGAGAGAGCGAGCATCACTATACCTCTGGGACTACAGATGGTCCTCATTTAGCTTGAAAACAAAAGGCTTCCTCTACTCGTATCCACAGGGAAAGGGCCTAATGTAAGGTCTGGGCTCCTCCCCGAATTACGGCCAAAGCCAAGCCACTGAGGAAGCTGGATGCTGCTCTGTGGTACAGCTTGCTTGGATCGGCCCAGGGATCAGCCCAGGGACTAGGGAGAGAGCACCTACCATTAGGGTTCTGGGCTCCATGGGACCAACAGGACATATCTGAGGAATGTCCAGGGAGACCCAAAAGGCGAGGAAGAGAAGTAGCAGCCAGGACTCACGGTCCTGGGCAACCACGGTGAACAGGAAGAACGTGCTAACCTAGAGGGCCTATGACTTGTACCATCCTCCCATTTCTCCTGCGGATGGTGAGAGCAGTTTGTCCTGAAGCTTCAAATTCCTCGTCCTGCCAGACTGAGCCACCCGTGAGGAGGCCTGCTAATCGCCAGGGAAATTGTGGGGCTGGATCAAGCAGGTCCTTGGACAGACATGGCTACCACCTACCAGTCACCACCAACTTAGGGGACCCAGATATCTGGGTGTTTTACAGACTGGCCTTCCTGCTGCTTCCCCACTAACCCCCATGGGCAGCCAGCCAAGGCAGGTCCAGAGCCCAAGCCCTCGCTGCAGCCACCCAGGCCTATGGCCCCCAACCCGTTACTGCTCTGCTCAGCGCCAATGTGTCTTTCAGACTTTCTCTGTGCCCCGAGAAAAATAATGTCTTTGGCTACACTGCAACCACCTCAGGATTTGTTTTGAGAACTGTAATTCAGAAATGATTTTTAAACACGTTTTCTATGTTTGGCATCAGCCTTGCCCAAAATATTGATGTTTTGAGAGTAAATACATTTCACCTTATAAAGTCTTTTAAGAAACATGCCTCGGGGACCAGCAGTTAGCATAATGGCTATGTCGCTAAACTCTCATGTAGTCGACCGCGGTTCGAGTCCCAGACCTGGTGGCTTAAACTCACGCCATGTGTGTGCGTGCCCAAGATCCTGAGAGGAGAATGGATTAGTGTGATTTCTTGCTTTCTATCTGTCTCTCTGGCAAGCGCACACGCCCTATAACAAAAATCTCTAAAAAAAAGAAAGAAACATGCCTCAGGGTCAGCATGTGGCATGGTGGCTAGCATACTAGATTCCAACATGGCTGATCACAGTTCAAGTCCCTTACCCAGAGGTTTGAGAATGATAACAACTAAACAGATAAATGAATAAATAAAAAGCAGCATGCATTTTTTTTTTAATCACCAGAGAGTATGTATGCTCTCCAGAGATAGACAAAAAGAGGGAGAAAGCACCCTTAGTGGGGGTGTGTCATACCAACATCCCTTCTCCTGTATTTTTCAACTCTGCCAGGATTTGGGGCATGTTTGCATGCCCATGATGTTTTTCAAGGCACTGAGGCTGGGATTCAAACTGCATTCAGCCGTGTGGGATCAGGCTCCCTTATGCACTAGGATACAGGGTCAGCCCAAGGAGCACCCCTCCTTAAAAAAGGAATCTGTTGCTGGTCTGACACTAAGAGCAAAGCAACAAAGCCTGTAACAACACCATTGTCAACTATAAACTGAGTGGCCAAAGACCAGAGCAAATCATGCAGCAAGTGGATCAAAAAAAGTTTATTCTGAATATTTAATTTAAAAAAATCATATACCTATGAGGTGTGCTACAGAAATCGAGATACAATAAACTGCATATAAAACCCAACCTAATTGTGGTAAAGCAAGGATTATGCAGAAACGCACTTGGAAAGAAAACACATGCATTACAGTAACTAGCTGTCCCCAGGACCTGCGACATCTACATGGTCTCCTGGGAAGACCACTGTCCACTGACTGTGTACACGGCCAGGCTGGTCCCGGCTCCTGGGCTCTCAGGAGGGAAATGGGTTTTCCCATGTGGTGAGTGGCTGACTGCACCCATGAGGGCACCTTGGGGGGGGGCACTCACTTGTTTGCACTTCCTATTCCTCACCAAGTCAACCGATCAAATTTTACTGTAATTGAACATGATATTTTGGCAATAAAAAGCATGACTCCCTTGCTGGGAAAAATGTTTCTGACAGTTCGCAGCAGAAAAGGCGCCTGCCTTCCCCCAGCTCAGTGGCTGTTTGGTCACACAACGACACACTCCCGGGCTACATCGGGGTGGGACTGTAGCCAGTCATCACTAGCTTTACCCTACCCAGTAAGACCTCAGAGCCTCTCCCGTGGGCCAGAGACAAGCAGGGGAGGGGAATACTCAAGGGCTCAGTCATGCGTCCAGGCAGCAGCAGGTGACTGCCCTCCTGGTGACAGAGCCCAGGGGAGGTATGGAGACTAGGATCTCTGCTAAGTCGGCAAATACCGTGGGCACACAGTACCATATGTGTAGGACTCTCCACCTGACACTGAAGCTAGCGATTTGCTCCGTTCTAACTTTCTCTCGGGCCCTTTTCCTCTTCTTCCAATACCCAGACTGCTTCACCAGGACAGTCCTTCTGGCCCAACACCCACGTAGCCACTCCGGAGCTGCAGATGCTGATGTGAAAGATCTCGTGTCTGTCCTGGAGGAGTGCCAGCTGCTCACGACAGACGGGCACAAGGACAACGTGCACTACTGACCTCAAAAGAACTACAGGTCCCTGAAGTGGCTGCACATGACAGTCGATTTGGCAAAGAAAGAAAATACTTAAATGCATAAAAACAATTACCAAAATCTTCCTAAGGAACATGATTACAATATATTAGCAAATTCTGTGGCATAAACATTTTCAAAAGCATCAGCAAAAGTATTAAATATAAAAGCAATATGTATATTCCCCTCCCCACTCTCCAAAAAAAAAAAGAAGAAGAAAGAAAAGAAAAGAAAAGAAACAACAAACAGAAACCCAAGAAGGCATGATTTGTAGTGTGAGAATCGGGCGCAGGCTCCGGTGTCCAGGCCGACAGAGGGCCGCCCTACTGCCGCAGCTCCACGTAGTTGGCCGGGAAAAGCCCGTACCTGCCCTTGCACACCCCGCGCCACCAGCCGTCATCGATCATCTCAATGTTGGTGATGATGTCATCAGGGTCAAAGGAGATTTCGTCATCGCCCGCTAGGGGAAGAGGGCACAAAGAAAGAGATACTGAAATGCCACTGTCACCTGGCCTGCTGGACACAGCGGCCCTATGAAGAGCTGGCCACCTCCCGCCAGAACTCCAGCCACAGGAAAGGCTTCACTGTTGCTACCACCCAGCCCAGGCTGGGATCTGTGAGCCAAGGCCATTACAGACTTCACAGAGCCCTTCGAACACACCACCAGCCCCACGCCAGACCATCTCCTCACGAAATGGTATCGATCACAGCAACTCCGCCTCCTTCCCGTCCCCCCTCTTCCCAAAGGGAAGAGGTGGGGTGCCCTGCAGCCCCTGAGGACAAGGAGTGCACGTGGAGGGACAGGGAGAGGGTACATATAAAAGGAGGCCAGGGTGCGGGCTGGAACAGGAAGTGGCAAGACAAATTCAGCCGTTTTGAAAATACATACAGAGATGTGGAACTGTCATGGAGTCCATACGCAAATAAACGCATGCATGCAAAAATGAAGAACTGTGGGAAAGGAAAGCTCTCACTACGGCAGAACGCCTGCCTCCTCATGTAGAGGGAAAGGTGGGAACGAGCAGCTCTCCATCAGAGGAGACTGGGCAGGGAGTCTGTGGAGGAAGATCACCTTCAAAATGTTTGTCAGCTGCTCTAGAGACAGGAGCCCTATGCACTGGGTGCTGGCACCCAACTCCACAGCAGTAAGACAACTGGCATGAGCCACAGGGAAAAGCCAAGCTATTTCCACGGGGTGGTGGCTGAGGGCTACCCAGGACAGAGGCTGCCTCTTCAAAACTACAAAGGTCTCAACGGGCAGGCAGAGGGAGCAGAGTGAACTGACATGGAATGCAGGGAACCCACCCACATGCAGGGAACAGGCTAGCACGGGCCTGCCCTGTGGGGCTGGTGTTGGCGTCTCATGTCCCCATGTGGGACAGTGAACGTGGTCCTAGGGAATACACACTGGGGTCTCAGGGGAGCAGGAGCCCCTGCAGCCACAGCTCTCCAAAGGTGCACAGAAAGACTAAACACACATGTCTGCCTGTGTGTGGAGAGAGATGGAACGGGATAAGGGGAATATGGGAACTCGTGGTACTATACATGCAACTCTTCTATGATTAAGACTATTTTAAAATAAATTATTTCTAAAATGCAACGGTCAAGGAGATGTGTGAGATGTTCCTGGAAGACGAGCGCGAAGCGGAGGCCCAAGTGTGGGAGGGCTCTCACCAGCCTGGTAGTCGTAGAGGGCGATGGCCGTGATGCCCAGGTCGTTCTCGTACTCATCGTAGGTGTTCTCCTCTGAAAACAAACACGAAGATCAGAACAATGGCCCGAGCCTAGAAACAGACCGACTCACTTTCTGTTTTCAGACACTTCCTCAAATGTGTGGGGGGTGGGTATGAAGTTAGGATTATGCTTTAATGTGAGAGTCAAGCTCTAATCTGGAAGGTATCGGGGTTGTAGAACACAAAACACCTTCCAGAAACAGAGGAAAAGAACTCTAGCTTTTATGGGCAAATTAAAATGGAATCCCATGGGGCCAGCAGGTGGTGTGGTGGTTAAGGTGCTCGATACTCCCACGTGGCCAACCACAGTTCGAGTTTTGGGCCTGGTGGCTTGCTTTCTCACCCCCTGCTCTCTTACCCCCACCCCATTCTCTCTGATCAAATGAAAATAAATGAGTAAATAAAATTAAATAATTATTTAAAAAGTAATAAAATAAAATGGAATCCCAGCTCTGACCCTACCCAGTGAACATAGTTTTCTTTTTTTAATTGCTAAAAGAGCATGTGAGCTCACAAGAGAGAGAAATAGAGAGAGAGGGAGGGAAGGAGAAAACAACTCCCAATGGGGCATGATCATGCCACAATCCCTTCTCCTCCATTTTTCTATCCTGTTGGGATTTGGGACACATACATGCCTGGAGTGTATTTCAAGCTGCCAGAGCTGAGATTCGAACCACAGTCAGCCATATGGGACCAGCTCCCTTAACCAGTAACCTATGGGACCAGCCTAATTTTTTTAAGAGAAAGATTTTTGCTATAGGACACGTGCGCTCACCAGAGAGACAGAGACACAGAAATTGAGAAATCACCCTCAGGGAGGATGTCCATGCTGTAATCCCTCTCCTCCATTCTCCTCTCGGGATCCCGGGCACACACACACACGTGCCTGGTGTGAGCTTTAAGGTGCCAGGTCTGGGAATCAAATTGCAGTTAAGTAGTGGGACCTGATGACTTGCTTTCTCATTTTCCCTCTCTCTCTCAGGTCCAGGTGGAGTGGGACTTTGTCAGCAAGCTGCCCCCCTCCCCTGGGAAGGAGCCTAGAGTACGGCCCCAGTACCTGCTGGGTAGTGGCCCGGGGCCTCTGTGGTCTCGTAGACAGCTTCTGGGGTGTAGGCCAGGCCCTGCTGGCTGCTGTCCTCTCGGTAGTCGGTGGCCTCCACACTGTACACAGGCTCCGGCTCACTCGCAGTACCTTGGTAGCTCGGCTCTGCCTTGAACGGCACTGCGTCCTAGAGAAGGGGCAGACAAACACTTGGTGGGCCTGGGCTGGCTTCTAAACAGCAGCAGCTCCCCTGCCACAGTCATCAGGAACACAAACCTGGCCAGGGCTGAGAAAACAGACACAGGACAGGAGAGCACTACACACGCACGCTCGCTCTCTTGCTCTCACATGAACACGCACGTGCACACTCACGCACACACATACCCTCCACGTCTAAGAGGGGCCGAGAAGGAAGGGAGAACTGAAAAGCAGCAGCCACTGAAGTAGAGCTGCGGGGAGCAATGTCTCAGCACCGAGGAAGGACATATCCTGGGACAGTGGTCAGTGTCAGACTCAGCACCAGTGAGAGCAACAGAGGTCACACACGTCTGACGACCACAGTGAGGTGGCAACCAGGCTGCAGAGGTCAGGAAGGACAAGCCTCACCCCAGATCCTAGTGTGGATAGCCTGGGGGTGGGACCTGTAAGTGTCTCCCCCATAGTGCTCAGGAGTGCTGCCCACCCCCAGGGCTGCAGACCACCCCCTTCAGGTAGCTGCAGAGCAGAGCGGTGTCCTCAATGCCCGCTTGGGTCATCTATACACAGAAGACACCTGGCCTTTGGCAGCTCGGAGTCATTTGTAAACCAAACACAACCACCAACCTCATAGACAGGGCTTGAAGGCGGCCTCTCCTCAGCCGGCTGAGGAGTGGGGGAAGCGGGGGGCGTCTGCTTTTTGGCTCTGGCTTGTTCCTACAATTGAAACACAAATAGCAATGAGAACGCCAAGTCAGTCCAGATCGCGACATCTGCCTGGTGGCCTTAGGACTGCAGCAGATTGCACCGGGCTCTTGATAAGCCATCAGACGGAAGGACAGCAAACACAAGTACCTTGTCAGCACTGCAGGGTCTGAAGGGCACATGTATGTCAAGTAAGGTCCCAGTCAGTCAAGCACACTCCAGAAAGAGGACCCTGGCGACCCCTAGCACTACTGCTGCTGCCATAAGCTACAGAGTTATCTACCTGTGCAGCCAGCAGAGCGACAGCACTGTCAGCAAGATGCAAGTCCCTGTCTCAGCCGTTTCCGATGAAGATGATCTGGGTGGGTTTAAGACTCAGTTGATGCTGTAATGGGCTAAGACTTTTAAAGACCTTGAAACAGGGTGAGTGTACTTTGCGTGTGGGATGAACACAAATTTTTAGGGGCCAGAGGGTAGATGTGGTAGACAGATTGATGGCTCCCCAAAGCTGCTGACATCCCAATGTCCAGATCCTACAGATGTAACCTTACAGGGGGAAAGGGACTGGTAGTTGTGAAGTTACGGTATCCGCAACAGAGATTATTCTGCATTATCTGGGCGGGCCGAGTGAAACCACAAAGTCCTGGTAAGACGAGGCAAGCATAATAGGGTAGAAGAGGTAGTGATGAAAGCAGAGGCCAGAGTGATGCAAAGCAGCAGCCACAAGCTAAGGAACACAGGCAGCCTCTAGAAGCAGGAAAAGGAAGGGAACAGGCTCCTAGAGCCTGCAGAAGGAACACAGCCCTGTCAACTGCTCTCAGGATGTCTGACCTCCAGAACTGCAAGATAATAAAAGTGTGCTGTTGTGAGACACTGAGTCTGTATCATTTGATAAGAGCTGCGACAGGAAACTAATACCGACAGCCTGCGTGTTACTATGGAGGAAGCTGAGGCCCAAGGAAGGTCAGGCCGCATGCCCAGGGACACATGGCAGGTCTAAAGGCCATCGGTCCACTCCAAACTCTCTCCCTCCTCTCCTGCTACAGGCTGCCTCTTCCTAACAGGGATGCAGGGACAATAGTACCACTGTCTTATCTTACTGAAAAGAAAACCATCCCTGGCTCTTGAGATCTAAGGCCCAGGCCTTGGCACCTGTGTGGCCTGGCCTGGCCGGCACTATGAAGGCCAGTGTAAATTTGTCATCGGAATCACCCACAGGTCAAACACCTGGGTGCCAATGTCATACATGTTTGCAGAGGGGCAGGCCTGGGCTGACAGGAGAGGCATGAGCTTCCAGATAGACTGGGCCTGCCAGAAAAGCAGGGCCCTGGCTGTGAATTATACCTGCTCCCTTCACACTCCCTGCTGCTTCCCAAATCCTGTTCTCCATGTCTAGTCACCCTGCTAGTGGCCACATGCCTATCACCTCACTTCAGGTGCTCACAACCCAGAGGGTGTTGGTACGGGTTGTGCCATGCAGGCTTAGGGTCATGCTTAGGGAAGAAGCAGGTGAGAAGGGGATAGGAGGGCCATAAACAGCAAGATGCTAAACAAGCACACAACACCATTTTCTTCCCAAGCAATCAAATTATTCTGCCTCTTTTGGATGCTGATGGGACTCAGACAGCAGGGCTTAAAATTCTAAGTCATAAAATGACAAAGGCATGAATTATTTAAAAAGACAGTAAGATACTGGGAAGACAAAAGAAAAGCCTTGCAGTATGTGTATATTTGTGCGTTCTGCAACAACGAAAAACTAACTCACAGGCATCTTACTAAAAACAGTGAAGAGACATCTCTTAGAAGTTTCTAGACATGACCACAGAGGCTTGCAGGAAGCACCACTGCTGGGGAGGCTGGAGGCCACAGGGAAGCAGTGGGTTTGGTTCCAAGTCCATCTGAACACAGCAAGTGCAGTTATGATAAGAGTCATGATAAATAAAGTCTTTCTATCTCCATTTATAAATTAAAACATGAAGTTGCAGAAACAAGGAATGACCTGCTGCTGGTGCTCAGGCTGCAGGTGATCAAGCAGGGACTAGAGCTCTCAGACACTCAGTATGTCTAGGGAAGCTTCAGGGAGGAGAAAGTCCTTGTCCCCTGTCCACCTCCTCCAGGGAAAACACAGCAGCATCGGAACTACAGGCAAGAGAGCGGTCAGTCTAGGCCACAGAAATAAGGCTGGAGAAGAAAGCAGACCTGTGTCTGTACAGCAAATCCCTTCCACACTCTCAACCTTCTACTCAAGAAAAGAGTGGGCTTCAGAGGGTGATGAGTGAGAAGAGAATCTCAGAAAAACATCTTGGACTGGAGGTCTGTGGAAGAAGAGGTCAACAGAACACAAAGACAAGTCCATTGACAAATCTCAGCTAGCGGGCAGAGCACGCTGGCGGATTACTCCAGGGCTAAATCAGAAAGCCTGGGTTTGAGCTGGTCAATTCCCGGCACCTTGTAGTCAAAAGATTTTATGTATCTATACCTGAACATGCATATAAAAATAAGTGTATGTACCTATGTACATATGTTTATGTATACATGGGGGGGGCACTGAAAGTTCCTTAGAGGATAGTCTTAAATGTGAATTAAGATGTTGTCTATTGAGGGGTAAGCAGGTGGTGTGGTGGTTAAGGCACTGGACTCCCACATGGACAACCACAGTTTGAGTCTTGGACCCGGTGGCTTGCTTTCTCACTTTCTCTCTCTCTCTCTCTCACACACACACACAAATACTTGTACCCTAAGAGATTTTTGCACATGTACTCACTAGAGACACAGAGAGACAGAAAGTGAGAAATGACCCCCGGGGGTGATGGCCATGTTGTAATTCCTTCTCCTCCATCCTCCTCTCAGGATTTTTGGCACATACACATATGTACCCAGTATGAGTTTCAAGCTGCTAGGTCCAGACCTTGAATAGCAATCGACCATGTGGGAGTCCAACACCTTAACCACTATGTCATCTGCTGGCCCCACACCCTGTAGCAAATTCACAAATAATAATAATGATAAAATTAAATACATATTTTTTAAATATTTAACTTTATTTATTATTTATTTATTTTTAACCAGAGAAGAACAGAGCGAGAGAGAGAGAGGGAAAGTGAAAAAGCAAGCCACTAGGTCCGGACTCAAACCATGGTCAGCCAGGTGGGAGTCCAGTGCCCTTAACCACCTGCCAGCCCTCATGGTTTTGTTTGTTTTTTAATGTCATCTATTGAAAACCTTCTGGATACCAGGAAAAGCTTATGATAAGTCCAACCCATGGTCCAAGAGCCCCCTCGCTCAGCACATGCTGCCAGGTCAAGAGCACACTGGAGGGCTGGCTTCTTTTTACTCACTTCCAGTTTCCTTCTGGCCTCCTCCTGCTCCTGCCTTTCCTTAGCCATCCTCTGTGCTCTCTCAGCCTCTGCCTTCCGCCGGTCCTCCTGTTCTTTCTCCTTGGCGAGGTTTTCAAAGTTGGCTCTGATGTTACTTGTTTTGCTGGTCACTAGAGGAAGCAGAAGTACATCTGACCCCAAAACCCCTTCCATGGACCAAAGCTCTGCACCACGTACAGCTACCCCAGTAACCAGTCATCCCCACTGAGAAGGGCAGCATTTCTCCAGCTGTTGGCTCAGCCTTCCCACTCACCCACCCAGAGCGGCCCTCGGTGCCTGTGGCTGGGCGTGCACGTTCAGCAGCTGATGACCATACGCCCTGGAGCTGCGCAGCTTTAAACTAGACATAATACACTCTACCGCCGCACACTCGCGATTAAAAAGCAAGGCTTGAGAACGTCTATTCCTTGATAAGGCAGTAAGCTATTATTTTCAATAACTCTCAGCCCTGAGCATACAGCTTTTGATACTCTGAAATGAAATAGGAAAGACACTCCAGGCTCGACCACTGCGTATGAAAGTTGGAGGACTGCTCCAAGGAACGACATCCTGCAACTGAGCTGCAGTGTGAGCTGTTTGTTTAGGGAACACCATTTTACCCGGAAATAACAACTGGCAGCTATGGTGATGCAGATTTGGGTATGTGACAGACATGTCTCCAAAGTGAACAAACTGAATCTATCATGTCAAGAAAAATGACTGCGGTATTTGTTGCTCATGAGAAAACTCAAGCTTTCAAACAAAAGTCAGAAATTTAGGAAATCTGTAGCTGCCACCAGCTATGACAACTTATACTTAAAGACTATGCTGACAAGATGGATGATGATAACAAATGCAGTTTGTGCATGTGTGTGCTGAAAAATGAAAGGTATCACCCTCTGGAGGATGAGCACAACCTGGAGAGCTGCTATTTTCTGAAGGACCAACATACATACAATGTACAAAATCGCACCAGCCTCCCAGAGTACAGGAACAACACCGCCTGACAGATCTGGGTTCAGCACTGCAGAACACACACAGGGATCCAAAAAGCTATTACAACACCGTCCCCTCTCCCAAGTGCATATCTAGATGAGGCCAAATTTTCTTTATAAACAATGTAACTTAATTGCAACAGATGAAATGCAGAAGCAGCTATGAGAATTCAGCCATCTTCTACATATTAAAGAGATTTACAAAAACGAAGAACAATGCCACTCTTGCTTCCTTTTGCTTTTAAAAAAACAAGTAGCTGTTTTTCATGAGAAGTACTACATCAGCATGTAATTGCTTCACAGTTAAATGAGTGTTAAACTTACTCCTATTTTCATTGTTTTTTAATTGCTAGATGGCATGTGCACTGACCAGACACAGAGAGAGAGGGGGAGAGAGAAAGGGAGAAACCACCGTGCTAATTGGGCTTGGTCACGAAGCAATCCCTTTCCCATTTCTCTACTGAGATTTGGGACACCCTCGCACATGCACCTGGCATGTTATTTCAAGCCATGGGGTGAAGGGAGATATTCAAACAGAAGTCGGTCATGTGGGATCTAGCTCCCTTAACCACTAGGCTATAGAGCCAGTCCCCATTTTCATTTCCAATACAGTAGATATCAACCAATACATCAACAAAAACTCTTGTGCGGCCCTCAATAATTTTCGTGTCTTAGGACACAGAATTTGAGAACTGCAGAGACAGGGCACCTGGAATAAACCAGTGGTGACTCTCTGCATTCTAGTTTGAGTTAAGCACTTCTTATGCTTATTCTGTCTCCCCCTCAGGGCATGGCCTGGGTCTGATCCCGCCATGTGCCCAGCAGACAATCCAAAGGACAGATTTCAAGCTGCTGTCAAGAGCTCATGAGTAAGGAGCAGAATAAGGACAGCTACTCTTGTTCGTGCACAAATGTCACAACCTTCCTCCTCTCACAGGCTCAGGGAGGAGCAGACATGTATGAGCTGCCCCCAGGACCCAGTCCCTAGCAGTTAGGACCCCACAATGCCAGGGCTACAACGCGCTGTGTCTGCGAGGTGCCTCTTGGCCTCTGCAGGAGCGAACAGTGTCTGCACCAAAACAGCCATCTATCTCTTCTCAAAACACGCAGCCAAGCCACGCTCTCCAATGCTCCCTGCTCTTCGCCGGCACCCAGTCTGCTCCCACCTCTACTGCGCCAACAGTCCTTTTCACCTCAGTGCCGTCCTGGGAAGACAATACAGTCCTCCAAGGGGTCTGCCACAACTCACCAGCTTCAACAGGGACAGTCTTCTGGTAAACAGAGGACACCTTCGCAACGTCTTCAAAGGTTGATGCATTCTGTGGAGACAGGAAAAGGAAGTCAGGAAGGCACGTTTCTCTCCCCTCTGTGCCTGACACGAGTGTCTAAAACCTTCCTCAGATCTTCCAGAAGACTCAACCAGACAACCTTAAGCTTCCATTCCCACCTCTCTGATCCGCAAATTAACTGAGGCAGGAAAGCCATTAGCATACACATTTGCTGGTGACCACAAATCAGTGTCAGAGAAAAAAAATTCTGCACAGCACCCCCACCTGTTCATTCATAAATGGACTTTATGTTCTACCTCAAGCCTTTTCCAAGCTTCCCTTGTCACTGAGAGATCTGGAGAGCTGTGGGAGACATCCCTGGGACACATGCAAGCCCCTCTTGGCCCAATCCTCATTTCCCAAGAAGCATAATTACGCCTTTCCGTTGTAGGGGTCTCTACTGTCTGACGAAACGCACAGCACTGCCGAGCCACTGGAATGCTGACTCGGCCACAGACGGACATGGCTCTTGGAAACAATGGCTGTTCTGCAGCTTCATCAGGAGTTTCACTACTTCTGATACAAACACTTGGGGCTCGGAATGCTCACGGCCTTCCTGACATATCAAACCATAAGGAAGTGGGTCCACAGGGGAGTGCAACCAAAGCTCATCCAGTTAACACCCGAAGCTAACGGAAGTCCACGCCGCCCCTCAGGTCCAGGTGCAGGCAGTTCCGGGTGCTGTGACCACCTTCGGGATACCTGCATGGAGCTCTGGCACAACACTGAGGGCTGGCCCTGCCCCATCCCTCCCTCACCCTCCCAAAAGCAGTCCTCCGTCTATAGGACAGTAGCACTCAGAGGAGCTGACAGCCCATCGGGGACAGACTCCCAGCTTGGCCAGAGCAGCCATCATTGTTTGTTCCTCCAGCAACCTTGCAATACACCGGAGCATTTGCCCCCAAGATCAAGGCTATCACCCACCTCAACAGCAACCTGGGTGACTCCTGTCTAATCTCTAACCTTGACTGCTTTGGATACCCTGACCAAATTCTGTCCCTCTTCCCAGATGTGTTGACCCTTAAAACCACCATGTCTGGCATCTGGCCTGCCCTGTGGCCTCAGGCTGAGGAGGGAGGTCAGTGCCCTCTCGATTCTTCCTATTTTTTCCTGTCGCCCCCATCTGCTTATGCAGCCGAGCCTCTTCCTTATTGCTCAGAGGCGTTTGTCCACATCAGCCAGAGGATTCTGCTGTCCTTGCTCCACACCTCTCCACTGGCCGACCAAGTCACCTCTCGTGCTGTGGCTGCCACACCACCCACCGTCCTGCACCTCCTCGTGGTAAGGGCCCACTTACTAACCAGACCTCCTGCCTCCCCGGCCTGTACCCACCTTCCTTGGCCTCCTCTACTCAGGCCCTACCCATTTTACCCTCCCTCCCTGCTGCCCAGTCAGGCTCCAGGGCCCACCCCATCTGGTTTGGCCTTGGAGGACCCTCCCCCTCTTCTTCTTTAGTGTGACACAGGCTGGAGCCGTGACCAACTTTAGGTTATCAGAGGGCTGAGTCCTGCTGGCAGCACTCACTGGTCCCCAGCAGCCACAGGAGCCCACGCAGACCCAAGTCCTCAGCAACTCCACCTCACTCCCAGGGAAGAGCTTCACATCACCTCTCACAACACACTGGGACCCTAGGCTGTTACCTCACCTTTCTAAGTCTCGGGCTCCTCATTGATACAATACACCGAGAAGGAGACCCACAATGCCTTGCTCAAGGCATAAGCTAACACCGAGGGCAGCACTGCAACGCTTCCTTCCCAGGCTGTGGGCAGGGCAGTGGTCACCGTCATTGCCACCCGTGTGACCACAGACGCTAACACAGGAACTTCTCAGCTTCCGGCCACAGTTAATAGCTCAGACTCACCCAACCATTAGCTCCTTCCCTTCTTCCATCCTCAGTCAGCCCTTCCCTAGGGCTCTCAGTAGCCAGATCCTTTGGGTGCCCTGCTACCACACCAGGCCCCTGCCCAGTCTCCCTGGGGCACCCCACCATTGCCCTGCTCCTCCCTGCCAGCCCTGGGAGCCCCATCCTAAGCAGCCTTACCCACATCTATTCCTCCCAAGCTTGCCAGCTCAGATGGTGCCACCATCCACTGGGGTCCCTGACTCCCCTCTCCTCTGAACTCCTGAAGCCAAACATCCAGCCCTGCCGCATTCAGCCAAGCTCCTCTGATGTTAGATGCTTCTCACGGCCATTCCCCAGCCCAAGCCACCACCAGCACACCTTGCTTAGACTGTAGGGTGCAGTGGCAGGCCCGCCCCCCCCC